GGCACATTTCTTTCTCCAGGGGCCAGAGGCAGGGCATCTTCTGCAATGTCAGCTTCTCCTTCCACCCTGGACCCTAGTAGTACCTGCTTGTTTTCCAGGAACCTTGCAGCCATCAGCACCCTTTCTGGACTCCACAGAAAATCAGCCCTGCTGCCTTTCCAACATGCAGGGCTCTGTGGCCGAGAGTCACTGGGACAGAATCCGTAGGACTCTTGCTCAGGCAGGTTAACAGAAATGTAGCTGGGGCCTCTGCATAAGCTAGTGCCTCCCTGACTAACAGCTGGTTCCCTGTTTTGAAGCTAGAGTCTGGAAGGCAGCTTAGCGGTCCTAATGTGCACATTTGTATGCGGTCTTTTTTTCTGGTCTTTTGCTCAAACCTTTGTTTCTGTCTTGAATGCCTTTATTGCCCTTCCCTAGCCCACTCCCCTGACACTAGGCCCCCTTGGCTCAGCAAACCCCAGGCATCCTTCAGTCTAATAATTTATTTTTTTAAGATTTATTTATTTATGGATACAAGAGCTGTGGTACGGGCTAGAGATGTGGGGGGTGAGAAGATTCACCAGAGACAGAGTGGGGAACAGAACAGGCAGACTGACTGAAGTACACTGCTGAGAGGAGCAGTGGGGCCAGGCGAGTCAGGAGAGGTCTGCTGCCCATGTGGGTTGCTCCCTGGCCAGCAGGGAATTGAACTCAGCTGGGGATCGCCTCATAGTGCAGTGCTTCACCCCTTGCACCCCAGAGAGGCCCCCATCCTTCAGTCTAAAGCAAAGTTTTTTCCCAGAGATTGTTTCTCCTGCTCCTCCAGGCAAAGAAACCTCTCTCCTATACTCCTGGAGCCCCTGGGCAAGCAGGGATCACAACTGTTGCATTCATCACACTAGACTGCAGGTGATGTAATTGCCATCCTTCCATGGATGAGGGTCTTGCACAGGGACTGTCCAGTCTGTGCTGAATTGCCAATACCTAACCTAGCATCAGACACACCACAGGCATTCAGCACATGTTTGGAGAATAAATGCCCTTTCATTTGTTAGACGAGGCCATTAAAACTGGTGTGCCAATCAGCCAGATCATTGAAGTGGAGCACCTTGGGATGCTTAGCTAGGTAAGGATTGGATAGTGGGGCTGCTGACTCCTGGTATTCTCATTCCCACAGTCACTTTGTGCCCCCTGTGAGTAGGTGGTCAAAAATAGATCATCTAAACTTTGCAGAGTAAAAAGGGTGGTAATTAGTGATTGTGCTGAGATGAGTAGGATTGTCTCCAGGCCTTCCTACCTCTGGGTGATCCATCTGGGTGTTATGCTCCTTCTGGGCTCTTGCCAGTAAATTTTTATTCCAGAAAATGGTTGCTCAGTCATCTTGCAGATGAGGACAAAGGTCCTCTGAATCAATTCCTGTCATCAAGGTTGCCTCTCCACCCATGCCTGGAAAGTAAGGTAGAAACTCCTATCTAGGCATCAGTAGCATCGGTCAGGGTTCAGCCCAGTGACTTAATCAAGAAATAGTTTTGATTTCACCAGTTAACATTTCTTTGTTGCTTTCTGTATGCAGAGCTCGGTCTAGGATTGAGCTAGTTCTAATTTGCTTGACAGGCTAGCCCTAGAGATCTGGGGCTTTGTTCCATGGAACAGAGATAGGTCGGGAACAGTGCCTGTACCCCTTCCCCCCCACACAAGTCATGCTGTCTTGCTCTTCTTGTCTGCACCTGCTTGGAGCTAGTGAAGGCCTAATGACATCACTGATTTCCTTCCTGAAAAGTGCCAGCCAAGCAGTGCTGTCCAAGGGCCTGATGTAGATAACTGGGGGTCCTTGACCCACTTTGTGAGGCCAGAGCATGAGCTCCCAGGAGGCTAGGACTGTTCATTGAGCGTCAACAATTTTGATTTAGAATCAAATGGATCTCGGGGTTCCACTTGTGTGTGTACTACCCGACTCCTAGCATCATTGAGATTTTTTTTTATTTATTTTATTTTTTTAAAGATTTATTTATTTATGCATACAAGCCAGAAGTGAAGGGAGGGGTGAGAGAATTCACCAGAGACAGAGTTGGGAACAGAACCGGCAGATTTGCTGAAATACGCTGCTGAGGGGAGCAGCGGGCAAGTCAGGAGAGGAGAGGTCTCTGAGACATGTGAATATCTCCCTGGCCGCATGGAGGTGGGTGGGGGGGGGTAGTGGCTGCAAATAGCTTCATAGTGCTGTGCTTAACCCCTTGAGCCACCAGGGAGGCCCGAGATCCTTTTTTAAATCTCATTTCTTCTAGGTCTTGCTTTTTTAGTGTTCTCCCCTGCCCCCCAAGTCTGTGCTGATTTATCTTCCTGTTGTGTACATTTGTGTGTATACAGTTGTATAGCCAAAATGTGCCTGGTGTTTGTATCTGTGTACATTGTAAGCACACAGGTGTATTTCTGCTTTATTATCTAGATATATGATTTATATGTGCCTGTTTTCACTATTATTACAATTTTATGGCCCTTTGTCTCTGAAGAGCTCAGAACACTTTTTTTTTTTTATAAAGTTTTTTTTTTGTTTTTTTTTTTTTGTTTTTTATACAAGCAGTGGGTACAGTCAGAAGCACGGGAGGGTGAGAGAATTACCAGAGCCAGAGCAGGGAGCAGAGCAGGCAGAAGGACCGAAGTACACTGCTGAGGGGAGCAACGGGCGGCAAGAGAGGTCTGAACGCCATGCGGGACCCTCCTCCGGTGGCCGGGGAGCAGCCGGGGATCCAACCGGCGCTGCAGAGGCTGCGGGCAGCTTCGCAACCCAGCGCTCAACCTCTGCGCCACCGGGGAGGCCCTCAGAACACTTTTTATCTGTTGTCTGATTTTAAAAGCAAAGGATTTTAGAAAGAAAAGAACTCGTCCATTAAATTAGTCCTTCAGGGAGAGTTGAGTGTCTTGGAGAGAAAGGACAGCCGGAAGGATGCTGCAGGCTCAGTCCAAAAGAGAGTGCTTTGTAGTTGGAGGAGGATTCAAGAACCTTCCTTCCTATCCCCTCTGTCCAGTTCTAAGCCAGAGATTTTTTTTTTGCTTAATTTCCTGGGGTGATTTGGAGCAGAATGGGTGGGGGTGTGAAGGGGGTGCCTGAGGTGCAGCCCCATTTCTGTGCCCCCTGTGTTCCCACCAGCTGCAACCTGGGCCTCTCCAGCATCTTGGGGAAGAGGCTCCAAGGTGACCTTCCCTCCCCCTGCCATTGTCCTCAGGCCCTGCTCTGGGAAGGCTGGAGAGCCCAGCCTCCCTGCTTTCACTGAGGCAGCAGGGGGAGGAGTGGTCGGAGGGCACGCCATCCTTGGCTCAGCCCGTTGCCGGGGTGACCTGGCCACGGGCATTGTGAGCAGCTCCTCTTACAGGATTAGGGCTGTTCCGCATTCTTATCAAATGGGGAGGGAACACAGGCCTGCCTGGCTGCTGTCCCTTCTAGCCAGAGGCCATTGTCTGCCTCCAGAGTCCTGTGAAAGGCTGGATTAGAGGCCCCTCCCCTGGAGCAGAGGGTCCCTTTTTTCTGTATTCTTTGAACCTTGAGTGGAGGCAAACTCTCCTGGGAAATTGAGTAAGCACAGTCTGCCTCAGTCTGTGTCTTCATTTCTCATAACTTGCCATCTTCCATGAAGAGGAAGTCTTGTATTTATGGTTTGTGTCCTGGAGAGGCTTATCAGGAGCAGCCCGTGACACCCACCCCATGGCCAGCACCGGATGTCATGTCAGTCTCTGAGGGCCCGTGGCATTTGTAGGTGTGTCCCACAGACTCAGCACACACAGGAAAGCTCCTCAGATGCCTTAGTTTATTTCACAGAGAAGCAAACCTAGTCTTCCCACAGGGACAGTCAGGAGGAGAACCTGGATGCCCAGTCCCCTGGCAGTGCCTCACACACACAGCACATGCCCTGGCCCCTTGTCAGCGCTGCTGCTGAAAGGAAGCAAAACTCCACGGTCTCTGAGAGCTTTGCTAAAGCTTCTTCTTGGCAAGTATTTCTCCATTTCCTCTTGCCACACCCCACCCTTCCTGACCCTACCACATGCCACCAAGGGGCAGTCCTTATATACTGTTTTCACCCTACAGACAAGACAGCAAAACCCAGAGGACTCTGTTTATCTCTCTGTTGTTAGTTGCCAGGGAAGGGATATTTCTCACCTAGACTGAAGAGACTGTTGGTTTTGTAGGTGATTTTTGGGGCAATTAAACCAATGTAAAATTAAAACTTGCGATTTTAATCATCTTAAGTATTCAGTGACATATTCAGAACATTCATAACATTGTGCAACCATCACCGCTTCCCATTTGTAGAACCTTCTCATCACCTCAAAGAAATACTCTGCACCCGATAAACAGTACTCTCCCACTCCACCACCCCTATCTCCACCACTCCCTAGCTCTGATAACCAATCTTCTGCTTTCCCTCCTAGGGCTTTGCCAGTTCTAGTTGCCTCATCTAAGGGAAACTGTACAATACTCATGTTTGTGTCCAGTTTATTTCATCAGCATGTGTTCAAGGCTCATGTGCGCCTGCCCATTAGAGACCTTGTGACTTTGAGCAGTCATTAGCCTCTCTCGGCTTCGATTTCCTCGCCTGTAAGTGGGGATGATGATACTTTCTGTGCCTACCTCCCAGGGTTGTTGTGAAGGTCAGTTTATTTACCAGGGCAACATGGTCACTCAACGGTGTACCAGGCTCTGTGCTCAGTCTCCAGTGGGGAGCAACATGGGCCCATCCTTGTCCTCAAAGTGTAGTTGCATTGTTTTGTAAGCCAGAAAGCACTGGCCTAGCGAATGCAGTCTGTCAGCTTCCTTGTTAAGAAGCCCGTTTCCTTTCTGTGCTATAGACTGCACCCAACAGAGGAGAAAGCCTTGTCTAGAAAGGGCGCTCTCCAGCCTCTCTGCCACCCTGCATCTCTAGATGCAGCCGCTTCAGGCAGCCCAGCGGACTCAAGGCTCTCTTGAGTGTCCTCGGGGCACTTTTCATGCTAGAGCTTTCTCATTCTCCTGCATTCTCTGTTCCCAGGTGGCCATCAAGTTGATTCGGAAAGACAAAATCAAGGATGAGCAAGATCTGATTAATATTCGGCGGGAGATTGAGATCATGTCATCACTTAACCACCCCCACATCATTGCCATCCATGAAGGTACAGAGGGGGGGTGGTTGAAGCTGGGAGTGAGTGTGCACTTGTGAGCATGGGTGTGCACATGTGGGATTAGTGTATACAAGAGTGTGTGTGTGTGTGTGTGTGTGTGTGTGTGTAGGAGCAGTCAGATCAGATGGCACAAAGTCTAAAAGGACATAGACACTAGAGTCAGGCAAAAGTTGGAAGTGAAACCAGCTGTATGGGTTTGGGCAAATAATTTCATTTCTGCTTAGGGCCCCAGTTCCTGATAACCCCACCCACATCACAGGTAGTCACAAAGTTCAAGTTAAATGCCATGGATGGCTTGGCTCAGAGGAGGAACCTAACAGAGTGTGGGCTTTGTGTTGTTATTGTTAGGGTTTCCATACTTGAATGCTACCTCCCCAACCCGCTGGATTCTTAGCAATCCGGGGGAGGCGAAATATACATAGGCCTGCACCTGTCTCAGGTGTGTGGGTGCTGTTCTCCTTCATACATCCCAAGAAGCAGGCCTCTCAGAGTCTGACCTGCGTTCTGAATCATTCTGCCAGGGGCTGGCTCCTGCCTCTTCCTCATCTATCTCAGCCTTCTCTCCTCTGACATCAGTGCTGGCTCTCCACTCCAGCTGCCCTGGTCCCTGTGACCCAGACAACAAAGCAAGCAAGAGAGGGTGAGGAGGGAAAGAGGGGGAGCCTCCTCCCACACACACCTGTCTGCTTCAGGTCTTTACATAATAGCAATTAGACAGGAAATGAGGGGTAGCAGAGGCAGCAGGAGGGAAGGTAGAGCGCCTGTGGCTTTGCCTCTGTCTGAAGTTGCAGGGTGCAAGTAAGAAAGGTTTTAGCTTTCAGATTCTCTTCCTAGATCAAGAGCAAAGCCACTGACCAGGCCCTATGGTCTGAGCCTGGTCCATGAGGAGCCCAGGCAAGCAGCTGAGAAGGCTAATTGATCTGTGTATTTCCCCCAGGGAAGAGTGGGCCACTGGCAGAGCTGAGATCGGTGATTGGACAGGGTATATGTGTGTGTGCATGTGTGCCTCTGCGATTTCCCCCACATCCATATCTCCAGTAAGGCCAGAAACTGAGCTTTGAAGTCCAGGATGTGGTTTGTCCTAAATCTTCAGATTCAGCAACAGGGAGGTCATGGTCACTGAGTGTCCAGCAGAGCGCCCCCAGGGACACCCCCCTCTCCACAGCAGGCATCAGGAGATGCAGGAAGAGGGGGAAAAGGAGGCTCCAGTCCTGGGCACTGACCTCTAAGCTAGGGGTTTCCTAGAATGTGCCCCAGCTGGCTCTTACTCCCTAATTCCATGGCACAAAGACACTGGGTTAGTCTCAATGAGGCAGCCCCAAGGGCCTGGGCCAGTATGGATCAAGGCCACTTGCTTGTGTGCCCCTGGGAAAAAGCACAGTCCTCCTGGCCATGTCTCTAACAGTCTGGCAGCTGGAACTCCTCTTGGGAGAAACCTCCTCCCTGAGCTCCTTCTCACAGATTTTACACAGCAATAGCTCTGGGGCTGGCTGGGTGAGCTGGACTCATAGGACCCGTTTGACACAAAGATGCAGTGTCATGGACATATGTGCTCTGACACACCCAGCTGAGGGGCCAGTTTGGTGAGCTGGCCCTTCCCTACCTTTCCAGAGGTCTGGGGCCAGACAAGGTCTGAGACACAAGATGGGGCCCTCCTACGCGTGGAGATGAGCCAGCTGGGGCAGGCTGACTGCCAGGAGCCCAGTCAGTCAATTAATCACCAGATATTTTATTATTTTTTGAAAGATTTATTTTATTTATTTATGCATACAAAAACTGGGGTGTAGGCCAGAGAAGTGGGGGTGAGAGGATTCACCAGAGACAGAGTGGGGAGCAGAACAGGCAGATCTACTGAAATACACTGCTGAGGGGAGCAGCTGGCGAGACAGGAAGGTCTGCTGCACCATGTGGGTCAGTTCCCTGGCCGGGGATCAAACTCATGCTGCAGTGGCTGGCGATAGCTTGATAGTGCTGAGACTTGAATCCCTATACCACCAGTGAGGCCCCAAGTCTTATTTTTCAAGTGTGTGCATGAGCCTTATAGTAAGTCTAAACAGTAGGCGCCAATCACTGAGTGCTTGCTTAGATGTCAGACCTGGTGCCAGTTTGCTCAGCCTGCCCCGCAGCTCTCACTGACTTCTGTCTGTTTCTTACTCCAGCCTTGTGAGTTTCCTATATTTATTACCTTCTTTATTTATGTGATTATTTATTACATTTTTCATGTGAGGAAACTGAGGCACCATGGTGGAATAACTTGCCAAGGTCACCCAACTAGTGAGTGATGAGGCAGTGATTCAGTCCCCAAACCCGCATCCTCATGGATGTATGGAATTTGCCCCTGGTTGCAGGCCAAGGGTAGTGGGGGCTGCTGTAGAGTCTGAATTTTCGTGCCCCCTGAGCTGGGGCTGCCTTCCTGGGCATGTGCAGGATCACTTTAAGAATCCTCGAAAGCCTGACCTTCAAGAGAGGAAAGGGGAGCCCGGTGCTTTGGCTTTGCCTTTGCCTGGTGGCTGCTGACACTTCAAAGGCACTTCAAAGGCCTCCCACCCTGGTCCCCACATCCTGGAGGGGCATCCTGCCAGGTTGGGGGCTGGGAGGAGTGCGTGCCTCCCAGCCTGGGGGAGCAGTGTCTTCTAGGCCCTGACGCTCTACTTTGTCCTGCTCCAGTGTTTGAGAACAGCAGCAAGATGGTGATCGTCATGGAGTACGCCAGCCGGGGCGACCTGTATGACTACATCAGCGAGCGGCCGCGGCTCAGCGAGCGTGACGCCCGCCACTTCTTCCGGCAGATCGTCTCGGCCGTGCACTATTGCCACCAGGTGAGCCCCCACCCACAGGGCGCCGCTGGCTGGGGGGTTCCTGGGGCTCCAGAGACAGCCGGTGACTTGTGCAGGCTCACTCAGGGAGACAGAAGCAGAGGCCAGGTGCGACTTGGGCTCTCCACCCAGGAAACGGCCACTCTGGCTTTGCCAGGGCTAGAGGGTTCTATGATCTGTCACACTGGGAGATAATAAGGACAGGTGTTCCTAGCATACCTGTGCCCACCCCTCTTGCCCCTCTTGTGTTTACCCCACTTTCATCCCCTTCCCTCCTTGGTGACCTTTCCCTGACCCTCACCCCTCCCTCTTTCAGAATGGGGTGGTGCACCGGGATCTCAAGCTGGAGAACATCCTCTTGGATGCCAATGGAAATATCAAGGTGAGCCCCACTTCTTGTTTCCAGGTGCTCCCCACCCCTGGCCGGTCTTTCTGCCCTGTCCCTTGTCAAGTAAGCCCTTGGGGGTTGCAGAAGAGTTAAGCAAAGTTTAAACTTGTAGCCATTCCAGTGCCTTCTTTTATAGATGGAACACTGAGGCCTCAGTAGGGGGGCCTGCACAAGCTGCCGTGGCTAGCAAGAAGCTGAGCCTGGGCTAGGTGAGGTCAGCTGACTCCCAGACCAGACTCCCAGACCAGAGCTCTGACGTCACGTGTCAGCTTGTGCTCACAACCTCAAGACTGGCCAGGAGAGGCCATGGCCCGAGGCCTCCTCACAAGTACACATGCTGGCACTTTAATCGGCTCTGACTAGGGAGTTCCCCAAACCACACTCTTCAGCTTCTGCAGCTGCTGAGTTCCCATGCCCGCTGCTGAGTTCCCATGCCCGCATGGTTCCTTTAGGTCTGAGAAGTTCATGAACTCAGCTCTCAGGGCTGGAAGGACAAATGGCCAGGGCTGACCCCTGCAGTACCTGGGGAGGCTCTGGCCCCCTGCAGTACCTGGGAAGACTGACTCTGTACTCAGGCCCTCAGAATCTCCTAAGCCCACAACACAGTCCCTTCTCCGGAGGCCTCTGACCTGTGCCCTGAGGTGCCCCTGACCGAGTTTATTCCCCTCATCCAGCCATTTCCCGGAGCAGGTGGGGCTGGCTTTGATGCTTGCAAGGGGGAGGGGTGCTGGCCTCTATAAACCCATAGAACTTGGACAGGCACGGACTTCCCTACCTGCCCCAGCCCTCTGCTTTGTTATGGGCTTTGCCCAGTAACCGCTTGATAAGAGGCCAATAAAGCCATAAACTATGGAGCCAGTTTCACGAGCACCACCCTGGGCACACATGACCCCTTCTGGGGTCAGAGGTTGGGAACCCTAGGGCATTGACCTCAGCCTTGAGCCACGCATGGTCAGGGAAAGGGTCTCTCCAGGAAGCAAGAAGTTGGGGTTGGGACCCCTAAGCCCTCAGCATGAGATATCTCAGGGATTCCTGTAAGAAGGTTCTCCTGGGCCTCCCCGGTGGCGCAGCGGTTGAGCGCTGGGTTGCGAAGCTGCCCGCGGCCTCTGCAGCGCAGGTTCGATCCCCGGCTGCTCCCCGGCCACCAGAGGAGGGTCCCACATGGCGCGCAGACCTCTCCTGCCGCCCGCTGCTCCCCTCAGCAGTGTACTTCGGTCCTTCTGCCTGCTCTGCTCCCCGCTCTGGCTCTGGTGAATTCTCTCACCCTCCGGTGCTTCTGACTGTACCCAGTGCTTGTATAAATAAATAAATTAATTTAAAAAAAAAAAAGAAAAGAAAAAAAAAAAAGAAGAAGAAGGTTCTCCTCCTGGGCAACCCCATGGCCCCAGTCTTGGTTCTGGCTTCATTACTGCTCCTCAGCTACAGTGGGAACCCATGCTCTTGCCACCGGGTGCTGCCGGGTATGGGCACAGACATGGGCCCTTTGCTGGGAAGGGCAGCTTGAGCCTCGTGTGGCTACTGGGACTGGCTCACAGACCCTTCCTTCAGTCAGTGTCCCCTGAGTCCCACCTATAGGTCACACCTGGGCTGCAGGAGACAGGGGCGAAGAGGTCAGCTCAGGGAGCAGCGTGGGAGGCAAATGACACCCCACCCCAGGGAGGTGGGCCTGCTGCATCGGGAGGGTGTGTGTGGTCAGGAGAGAGCGTCCTGGAGAGGACAGCATCTGCAAGGGGTTGGGAGCAGCGAGGGGCCGGAGCTCCCCTGCCTCCACCTAGGTGCTCCTCCTGGACACAGCCTCCGAGTGCTTTCTTCTCAGGCGGGTGTGAGCTCTATTGCAGTGCCAGCAAGGGGTCAGGGTCATGAGACGCCTGCCTTCCCGCTGGGTCCTGGGCGGGGGTAGGCCAAGAACCGCAGAAGCTCATGGGCCTTGGCGTGACCCCTGCCTCTGTCTGACCCAATCCTGCAGATCGCTGACTTTGGCCTCTCCAATCTCTACCACCAAGGGAAGTTCCTGCAGACATTCTGTGGGAGCCCCCTCTATGCCTCACCCGAGATCATCAACGGGAAGCCCTACACAGGCCCAGAGGTGGGTGCGCCTGCCGACTGCCGTCTGCTGTGACTCAAGCCCCGGGAGACAGGGCTGGTTTCCTAGTTTTTCCCTTTTTTCAGAGCCCAGAACTCAGCCTCACCTCCCCCCCGCCCCGCCTTCACCCTCCCCTCTAAAGTAGTGATTTCCTTGGTCTCTAGCCAAGAGTGGCGAAGCTGGAACTGGAATTTGCATTTCCAACCCCCAGACTAGTTCTCTCTCCCCCCCATCTTCCTGCTTCCCATGTCCTTTCCCAGCACCCACTCAGCCTCCCTGGAGAGGTGATGTCCTCACAACCACCCCATCCTGGCCCACAAGACCCCAACACTGCTCTAGTGCTTGTGGCTCCCCTCCCGCAGGAGTGATGGACAACACCCTCCCCTTCTGCAGTGTCACCCCTGTGCCCCTGTGTACTAACCTGGAGGTGGGCCTCGATGCTCTCTCTGGTCTCTGGGCTATCCAGCATGTACCCCTTTCTTTGGGGGTTCAGGTGAGGCTGGATGCCTACCAACCTGAGGCGTCCCCACTGACCCTCCTCTCCTGCTCAGGTGGACAGCTGGTCCCTGGGCGTCCTCCTGTACATCCTGGTGCACGGCACCATGCCCTTTGATGGGCAGGACCACAAGACGCTGGTGAGACAGATCAGCAATGGGGCCTACCGGGAGCCGCCTAAACCCTCTGGTGAGTGCGAGGCATGGGCGTCTCATGCAGGTCCTGAGGCAGGAATGAAATGGTGGCACTGAAGTCAGAGGGCACCCCTCACCACAAAGCCATAGTAGATCTGATCACCCCCTCCTGGGAAACCCCCAGTTTCCCTTGTGACCTCTGAGGAGGGAGGGGGCCTCTCTGGGAAGGGAAAGGAAGAGCTTATTATATTTGGGAAGTGCTTCCTGAGGTCTAACTTAGATCCCCTTTGCTACAGCCTCCTCCTGTCCCTCTGCTGTTGTCCCATCACATCTGTGAGGGCAGGCGGAGGCGGGGTGTGCAGATGGCTTCCCCCAAACAGCCTCTGCCTTCAGAGGGTTGCATTTTAATTGAAGGGAGGAGAAAACAGCTCACATTCAAGGACAATGAAAGGGCTCTAGTCCCCACTGGTCCTGAAGGGCTGTGGGGCGATGAGGAAATGGCGGCCGAGTCCAGGAATGGGGAGAGGGGCGCTGTCCTGGGCAGCGGTACACGCAGCCCTGGTGGGAACAGCTGCAGCCACACAGGGCGAGCGAGTGGCAGGGGCTGCCCAGTCTCTCAGCCGCAAACTGAGACCCTGTCTTCTGTCTTCCAGATGCCTGTGGCCTGATCCGGTGGCTGTTAATGGTGAACCCCACCCGCCGGGCCACCCTAGAGGATGTGGTGAGCCACTGGTGGGTCAACTGGGGCTACGCCACGTGTGTAGGGGAGCAAGAGGCACTGCAGGAGGGAGGCCACCAGAGCGGCGACTCCAGCCGGATCTCCATGGCTGACTGGCTCCGGCGGTCCTCCCGCCCCCTCCTGGAGAACGGGGCCAAGGTCTGCAGCTTCTTCAGGCAGCATGCGCCGGGAGGGGGGAGCGCGGTGCCCAGCCTGGAACGCGAGCATTCCCTCAAGAAGTCCCGCAAAGAAAATGACATGGCCCAGTCTCTCCAGGCAGACATGACTGAGGACACTGCCCCTCGTCCAGGCAAGGGCAACCTCAAGCTGCCAAAGGGCATTCTCAAGAAGAAGGCATCGGCCTCTTCGGAGAAGGCCGGGGAGGACCCTGAGCAAGGCTCAGACCCTGCAGGCCCGGGACAGGCCGCCCCCCTGCTCCCCAAGAAGGGCATCCTCAAGAAGTCTCGGCAACGGGAGTCTGGCTACTACTCTTCTCCTGAACCCAGTGAGTCTGGGGAGCTCTTGGACGCAGGTGACGTGTTTGTGACTGGGGACTCCGTGGAACAGAAACCCCCCCCAGCTCCAGGGCTGCTCCATCGCAAGGGCATCCTGAAACACAATGGCAAGTTCTCCCGCACAGCCCTGGAGCTGAACGCCCCCACCGTCTTCGGCTCCTTGGATGGACTAGCCTCACCCCGCCCTCCAGCCCGGGCCAGCCGCCCCTCAGGGGCTGTGAGTGAGGACAGCATCCTGTCCTCTGAGTCCTTTGACCAGCTGGACTTGCCCGAACGGTTCCCCGACCCCCTGCTGCGGGGCTGTGTGTCTGTGGACAACCTAATGGGCTTTGAGGAGCCCCCCTCAGAGGGTCCTGGAAGCAGAGGCCTGAGACGCTGGCGACAGGACCCGGGAGGGGTTAGCTGCTTTTCCCTAGTGGACTGCCAGGAGGTGACAGAGGCCTACCGACAAGCCCTGGGGGTCTACTCGAAGCTCAGCTGAGCTGGGGAGGGTGGCCCCCACCCTGGGGCAGGCTCTAAGATGCACCTGGCTGCACCTCAGGGGAGATGTCTGCTTCCCTCCTCCTAGGGTCAGCATCCCAGTGCAGAAAGCTGCAGAAAGCTGGGATGGTTTGCGGTTGAGTCCTGAGGAGGGCTGGATGTGGGAAGTGGCGAGTGAAGTGCATTGAGGGTTCAGTGTCTTCAGTGGCTGGTTCCCTACGGAGCCAAGAAGACAGAGGGGAAAGGAGGAGAGAGGCTGCTGAATGAAGGCCCCCACCGAGGCCAGGTTAAGCTCCATAGATCCTGTCCAGGGCCCTGCTGGTGTTGATGAGTAAGTCTTGTGGGAGGTGCCAAGTGGCTTCCTGCCAGGGAGAGGCTAGAAGCTTTTCACGTATACACCCCCACCCCCACTGACCACTAACACTGGAATAGGGCACCCCTTCTGTGCCTGGGCACCCTGAGAGTGGTCTCCTAGGGTGTGCCCCTGCCTTATTTATCCTAGCAGTAAGAGAACACACCTCTGTTTCCTCAAAGGTTCTTCCCCCTTTCCCATGCTCCAAACTGGGCACAAGCCTCCTCCAGCTGCTGCTTTGAATCTAGAAGACTTGAAAAGGCTCAGGCTGCTATTGAACTACATCTCCAGGGGCCCAGATTTCCCGGGATCCCACCTTGAACCTCAAAGACACTGAACTCTGGCCTCCAAGCTGCTCCTGCTACTGAGAATGGATGTATCTATTTCTCTGGGCTTCCAGGGCCCTAGAATGTCCTTATTTATTTTTATGTTTTCAACTGCGTGGGGTTTTTTTTGTTAAAAAAAAAAAATTGCTGTTTCCAGTAACGTTCTGGGTGAATTCACCGTGATTTCTAAGTTCTGTGAACAGAGAAGTATTTTTGCAATGATCCCCTACTGACCAGGGAGAAGGGGGTCTTCTGTGGATCCACAGGCCCTGCTGCATGGTTGGGAGGGGTCTCTGGCTCCCCCACTCCTTGCCCTGGTCCTTCTGCCTGATGCTCCCCTACCCTGCCTCTGCGACCAGACAGAACCACTCCATTAAAAACCAGAACAGTGACTGAGAAACAGTCTCCTCGGTGTCTGGGGCTCAGGTCTTGAAACACGGCTCCCGGGCTGCCAAGGGTGGGAAATAGAGAATGCGCCTCATAAAAACAGAACACAACGACCCCAAACCCGTCTCAGCTCCCAGAGGCCCCCGTGGCACCCATCTGCAGTTCTGCCCTGGTCCTGTTAAGCGCACACAGGTGCACGAGCCCTGGACTGGAGTCCCAGCTCGCGCTTCAGCCTTTCCCAAAGGGAGCACAGGCTTTGGCGACGACGAGCCCGGCCTCCACCCTTCTCCCCCTCTTCTCCTACCCCTCCCCCAGCCAACTCTGTCCCCTCCTGCTCTGAAGACACCCCCAAGGCCTTTATTCTCTCCCTCCAAAGAAAACCCCTTTCCTCTAGCGCTGGGTCGCTGCTCCCCCTCTGCTCCCACAGCCGGAGTCCTGAAAGAAGGGAGGAATGCCTGGAATGCCCTCCCCCCTCGCGGGCCGTCCCTCTCACCCCCTGCAGAGCATTCCCCAGCGCCTGCTCCATTGAGAAACTCCCGGACTCTGAGGCCAAGGATGAAAAGGAGAATAAGGACAAAGGGCAGGCAGGCAGCCGGCTGGCTCCGCTCCAAGCAGTCTCCCTCCCCCACGCCCTTACCGGCTTCTGTGTCTGAGGCCCCCTAAGGATTCCAGTTCTGGCCGCTTCTAGCTCCCCACTGGTCCCTCCGTCAGCCAGGTCTTCCACCAGCCGGCCAGCCCTAGGTACCTGCCCAGGTGGAGCTTCCAGACCTTTCCTCCCTGCATCCGGGGAAATGGCAGTCACTGAGTCTGGGAAAGAGATGGGTAACCCACGGCAATTATGGGGTTAAAATGCATGCAGGCTCTGAGGTGTTCAGCTGTGGAGTGGGCTGTGCTCATGTAGTCGCTGAACCCAGGAGTCAGGCCCTGTTGTGGGCTGGGCTCAGCGGAACACAGAGGTGGTGGCACATCCCTGGTGCCCCGTGAGGTCTCAGTCTCAAGGAGGCAGCAGACTGGAGGGCCAGCTGGCACGTGTGAAGAAACAATCCAATCCAGTAGAGAAATATTTGACAGCTTAGATGCTTTTGAGGGGAATTTTGAAGGTGTTTGAAAGAATTGCAACTTAGGAGACAAGGCCAGGTCCTACCTTTATTAAGCGCTTATGTGTGAATGTGTCATCTCATGTAATGCTCAGTTCTGTACAATTTTTATTATTCTCAAGTTACAGCAGAAGAAATGGAAACTCCAAAACATTTAGTAACTTGCCCAGCTACCAAGCGGGAGAACCAGACCTCAATTTCAGATCTGCACCCTGTCAAGTCTTAGCAGGGGTGGAAGAGGGACTCCTTTGAACTGGATTAGACTGGAGAATTAGGAGAAAGCGCCATCAGTGAAAGGAACTACAGGTCCTTTCTGAGACACTCTTCCAGGCACAAGGAATATTCCACTGCCCAAAACATCCTCCCCTCATCTCCACACCCCCAAAGAGGGTGATAGGGAGCAGGGAGAAGCTGAAGTAGGGGGCTGGTGTGGGTTAGGGAGGTCACAGCAGAAGTGTTACAGGGTAGGGAGAGGGACAGCCCCCCCTTTCCTGAGGACCACCCTGTTACAGAAGGATGACCAGATCTGGAACTGGGAGGGCAGGAGGGAGGTCGGTGGCCCATCGGTAGATCCCAGCAGGGAGGGGCTGAGTTCTGGGAAGAACACAGGTGTTTGCAATCTTTGTCCTCTTTGTGATCTGTTTGTTTAACCTCTTCCCAATGGGGGGCTGGATGGGGAAGCAGGAGAGGGAGTGGATGTGGGGAGCCTGATGGAGAAGGAGAAACTGGCTGGGAAGGGAGCATCTTAGGTAAGGATGGAGACCTAGGCCGCTTTGGAGCCCAGGCTCACGGCCTTTCCCCTCACCTGCCAAGATGCTTCATTCCAAAAACATTCCTGAAAGCAGGCTCAGAGGGATGACGCTGGGCCCCAGGGGAGAAGGCTGGAGCTGCAGGAACGTTTAGTGCCGCATCAGCGGGCCTCTGGAATGTGAATAACCCCAGACAACACGATCAGGGGCAACTTTAGGAGTCTGGAAAGAGCCTTCTGAGACCAAGATTAAAAATGACTTGGTCAGATTCCTCAGTCCTCAGCCCTTTCCAGGGGCAAGTCCACCCAGGTTGTCCCTGATGGGGTCAACCTCACAGGGTTGTCCTGTGTTAGAACGGGAGCCCCTAGCCTGTTAGCTTATGCCACCCTCAAGAGCACTTCTTCACGGCTCCCTGTACCCCAACCAGCTAGCTGCATGGGCCTCCGCCTGGTAGGATCCAGTGAAGGGAAATGGAGAGTCAGATATGTGGGGAGCAGTCACCCCTGCAGCTTGCACTGCTAGGTAAGCACCCTGCTGTCCCACGAGGCATGGTCTAAAGAGTGACCCATAGCCCCCAGTCAGATCTTAAAGACTGAAGACCAACATGGATTCAGGACAAAGGATTAGCTAAAGGACCTGGACATTTTTAAGCAGAAAAGGATATGTGGGGGGCAGGGGGGAGCGCCAGAAAACAGGGCGGTCTTCTGAAAAGGCAGTGGTCTCCTAGGCTCATGACTCAGAGCAGGACCGCAGCCAGTGGTGAGGGCCACTGAAATGCTGAATTCTGCTTGACCAGCCATCACCTGTGTGATGTTTCATTCACTCCTCAATAAGTATTTATTTCCTAAGTGCCCACAGTGTACTCTGTGCTAGGCTCTGGGTTGTTCTTGAACAGAAATTGCTATCCTTGCAGGGCATGGGGGGGGAGGGAATAGATGAAGCAGTGAGTATAATAAGTACCTAATTTACGTAGCATACTATTAGGGAAAGGGGCATGGGTGCAGGGATGAAGGGGACAGGGGAGCTACCTAAATAGGGTGATCAGAGAAAATCTCACCCATCAGGGCCTCCCTGGTGGCGCAAGGGGTTAAGGTATCACACAACGAAGCTATTCGCACAACGAAGCTATCCGCAGCCTCTGCAGCACGAGTTCAATCCCCGGCCAGAAAGGGAGAAACCCACATGGCACAGCAGACCTCTCGTCACGTCTGCAGCTCCCCTCAGTCAGTCTGCCTGTTCTGTACCCCACTCTGTCTCTGGTGGATCCTCTCATATCCTGCATCTCTGGCCTGTACCCCAGCTCTTATATGCATAAATAAATAAATCTTAAAAAAAAAATCTCACCCACCAGGATGCATGTCTATAAAAATCTAAATAAGGAGGAGCCTCCCTGGTGGCACAGGGGTTAAAGACAGCGCTATCGCCAGCCACTGCAGCACAAGTTGGGGCCAGGGAGCTGACCCACATGGCCCAGCAGACCTCTCCAGTCTCACCCGCTGCTCTCCTCAGCAGTGTATTTCAGTAGATCTGCCTGTTCTGCTCCCCACTCTGTCTCTGGTGAATCCTCTCATCTCCCCCACATTGTACCTCTGGACTACACCCCACTTCTTGTATGCATAAATAAATAAATCTTAAGAAAAACTAAATAAGGAAAGGTGCTAACTATGGGGACAATTGGAGTCACTTCCAGAAGGCAGGAACAGCCAATCCCAAGACCTTTAAGGTGGGAGCAGGTCAGGCAAGTTCTAAAACAATGGCAGCAGGAGCAGTGAGAGGAGAGAGAGCATAGATAGGGGCAAGAGAGGGAAGGGACCAAGATGAGGATGGCCTGGGGGCTGGGGCGCCTATCACAGGACCATGGCTCTTATTCTGAGTGAACTAGAGGCATGTTTTGGAGAAAGGAAGTAAGCACATCTGACTAAGGGTTTTTTTTTAATTCCTCTAGCTGCTTGTTAAAAATAGCCCCTGGGGAGGTTGAACATATAATGTTTGGCCTGAAGGACTTGAAGGTCCAGGAGCTGGGCCTGGGAGGCTGCAGGTGCAGGGGTGGGGGCGGCTGGGCAGCACTTACATCTCCAGGAAGAGAAGAGATGAGGGAGTCATGAGGGAGGAATTTGGGAGAGATGTGAACTGGAGACAGACACCTAGGAGCTGGTACTAGAAGGAATAGCTGCTCTGGGTGGAAAATCAGACTAGATGGTCCCCAAAGTCCCTGAGTTTTTCAGGTTTTATTGGACAGGAAAGCAGTTATTTCAGAGCTGATCAGCTACTTGTGGAAACTTAAGAGTTTAAAAGGAGGCTATTGAGCTGGGAGAGGGGTGGTTTTGTTTTTTGGTTTTTGGGTAGAACTGGGGTATAGGTCAGAGGTGTGTTGGGGGTGGGGAGTGAGAGGATTCACCAGAGATAGAGTGGGGAGTAGAACAGGAGGATTTCCTGAAATACACTGCTGAGGGGAGCAGCGGGGAGACAGGAGAGGTCTGTTGGCCATATCAGGCCATAGAAGTGATAGCGCTGAGACCTAAACCCTACACCACTTGGGATGCCCAAGGTGGGCAGCTTTGACTGGTTGATCAACTGAGAAAGACCAGGGCTCTCTATTAGGTAAGGGAGAGTTGGGGTTGGATGAGGAAATGGTCTTTGGTACAGTTGAGCTTTGCTGAGACTTA